AGGGCCCCCGTCACATTGCTGTCTGGTGGCGAAAGCTCCCAGGCCAACGAAGGCCCGGCTGCCCCTGTGAGACAGGACACCCTGAGGCCTGGACATTCCCTCCCCATGGCTGAGGGCTGACCCGGCCTCTCTCTAGGTGGTGTTGCTTCTTCTCCACGCTTCTCTGCAGGGGTCCCCCAGAGACAGCACAGCTGGCCTCCACACCCCCATCCACTCAGCAAAAACTAGCTGAGCACCTCCGGTGCACTGGCCCCCACCACACACTGCGGACAGGGAGAGGAAGCGCCTCCCCACTGATGCCCAGTCGTGGGGGAGACGGACCACACACTTCCTGTACCCCCAGGTGAGCCGGGAGCCCCCCCGCAGGCCTGCTCTGGCCTGGGCAGGAGGACAGACGCCCCGAAAGTGGGTGTCCATACAGCCCTGCCCTGGGGCTCGGCAGCCACTTAGGGATCTCTTCAGGTTGCAGGGCCTTTTTTGAAAGGACATGAGCAAGAGGACTGGTTCTGCAGGTCCTGGCAGAGTGGCGGGTCTGTGCTCCTCCAAGGGGCCGGGAAGAAGTGACCCTGGTATGGGTCGGAGTGGTCGGCTGTAGAGGGCGGGGGAGGGGGTGGAACAAGTGTGCGTGTGCATGCACGCTCAGGTCTCCTGATTGTGCCCACCGACGGTGCATCTGGGCCCTGCCTGGTCTGGAGAACAGACGCGGGTCCCTGTGAGAACGCAGACCCCTCTGGGGGCCGGCCGTCACCGCGGCACTGCGTGTCACTCAGTTTGTGTCCATGGTGTTGAAACGCTGGCGCAGGCGGGAAGCTGAGGTTAGTCAGATCCCAGGGCCAGAACTGAACCAGGTGGAGGCAAAGAGCCCCCCTCACTCCCTTCTCCCCAAGGAGCAGGGCAGAGCTGGGAAAGCTCTGTATACACGTTTCTAGACTGAGTTTTAGCCTGTAGCGTTGGCAGGATCGTTACCCCAAACTCCGAAGTTGTCACCACATCCTCTGCGCTGAGGACTCATTGTCACGTGACTTAGACCTGCCTCTCCTGCATCGCTATGGCAACATCCTTCATCTCACCTCTGCTTAAATACAGTTTAATACTTAAGTCTCATTTAATTACTTTCTTTATTAAGGGCGGATACTTGGAATATAACTTTTTGAAAGGCAAAAACCATGTCTTTAAGTAAAATTGTCTCTTTCCCGAAGATGGATGTGCATCAGTAACGGAATGGTCTGCACTGGCATCTGTTTACGGCTGCAAGGAGCCTTGATTCTGCTAATGCGTTTCCATGCACCAGAACTGGAAAAAAAAAGCCATCCATAAAAAGACAATCACAGAGATGCAATCAAGCCTTGATGGCGGTACTCCGACAGACCTCAGGAAACATTCACAAGCGGAAGGATTGCAGCCTTAGTTTTACGTAGCTTCTTATAAATCAATTTTTAAAGTAATTCTCTCACATTCAATGAGGTAAATTTGATTTCTGTAGCCAGTATTCATGTTCCAGAAAACAATATGCACTTTGTTCTGTAATTACGTGATGCCTATTATTTTAGCCTGCAGACATTATTTTATTATGGAGCCGAGTTCTCCCCCGAGCCAGGCTCATGGGCTGGTAACGAGTGAGGGGCTCCAAGTGGAGCCAGGATGCGCCCCGCACCCCCACACCTCCGTGAAGAGCACCCACACACCCCTTGCGCCTCGGTGAGCACCTCAGAGGGGTGGCTCTGCCTCCAGAAGCAGTGAGGGAACACAGACACAAAGCCCCTGACTGTGTTAGGGGCTCGCCACGTGACAAGTCACGCGTCGAGTCTGGGATGGGCCTCCAGGCGGGGGCTCTCCCATCTCTGCCTTCCGGTCTGAGTGTCAGTGCGCCCTGGCCCGAGGGAGACAGCACAGAGGGGGAGGCAGGGTGGGGCCACGGGGGACGAGGCTGAGACCAGTTCTCCACCTTCCCACCCACCACCTCGCTTCGACCCGTGTGACTGGCGACACTTGTGTGGACAGGAATGCAAGAAGTGGGGGCCTCAGTGGTCAAACCCTAAGAACCAGAAGACCATCCCTGCAGGAATCCCCACCCACGCCTCTCACAGTCGCTCAGCGATGCTGGGTCCTGAGCCGGGTGCTGCAGACCCTGCGGTGAGCAGCGCACCCAGAGCCCTGCCCGCCCTGTGGAGCTCTCACGCCCGGCGGGGTGGGGGGGGGGGGGGAAGACAGACTGCAAAGGGGGCAAACACAAAGAACAGTGTGTTAAATGGTAGCGAGCGCCCGACAGAAATAAAGCAGGAAGGAAGGTGGGGGTGCTGGGTGGCGGATGACATTTGAGCAGACTTGAAGGAGGGAAGCGAGCCAGACCTCTCCTGGGGAAGAGGGTACATCAGCGCAACAGCAAGGGGCCGCTGTGCTGCGGTGGAATGACGAAGGCAAGTGGAAGGAGTCGGGCTGGAGAGAGGACAGGCAGATCGCCCCAGCAGACCCTCTAGGCTGTGGCTCTGGGCGAGGAGGGGCATGGTCTGGCAGCTGCCCCCCCACCCCAGGAGGGAAGGCAGCGCCTGGGCCCCAGGGGTAGCTGTGGAGGTGGTGAGGGAAGGTCAGACTCTGAAGGAGAGGCAGGACTGGGCTTTGGTTCGGTTTCACTTTCAGGGGGTTCTGAGGCGTAAACGAGGACGCATGTGTCGAGTCTCCTGCACAGAGTTGGCTCTTACAGACTGGGGCATCGCTCTGCAACTGCTCTGGGGGAGCCTCAGCCTCAGGCACTTCTCAGCCCAGGAATGCTGTGGTCCTGTGACCCCACAACCCCATGGCCGTGACCACAAGCAGGGGGCACCAAGGGCCCACCCGTGAGGATGTGCTGTGGGCATGAGGGCTCAGGAAGGCAGTGGGGAGGAGGAATGAAGATGGGGGGGGCACCAGCCTCCCCGGGTGCAGCTCGGGGGCTGCCCTGTGGGACGGAGTCTGCCCTGGAGCCCACAGGTGAGGTGGTGCTGGGGGTCCCAAGGCGGGGGCTGCACCCAGCTTCCCAGTGCTCTTTCAAGATGCCGCCCTGCCATTGGAACTCCAGCGGATTGTGTTTTCCTCCAGACTTGGGTTTTTGACCCAGGAAATAGCTCAGACCAGAAATGTGTCGGCCCCAGTACTGACTAACCATTACCTTTCATAAGCAACTCAGGTATGAACCTATTATGACTCTGTTATGACACAGGACAAATCAGCTATCTGGTATTTTATTTTTATTATTGAAGCTTCCCCAGAGGAATAGGACTGGGGCTTTTAGAAGCAGAGCAGTTTTCAGAGGAAACTCGCAGGATCCCTGCAGCCCTCTCCGAGCATTCCCTCCACTGGGGACGCTGTTGGGCGCTTCGCCCCTGAACACTGGCTGCTGGCATCCTCTCAGCCATCCCGCCCCTGCCCTGACCCAGGCCTCTCCCTGACCCCGCACCCCTCACTGGGCTCATGAATTGGACAGAAAGCATCTGTAAAGGGCTCGTGAGGCTTGTGACCAGGCTCGGGGGTGTGAGCAAGACAAGGGCCAGCGTTTCGGGGAGCGGGAGCTGTCCTTGGACAACCCTTGTGCCCACTGGCTGGTGGCCTTTCCTCCCTCCAGCCACCCACTTCCCCTGTGGACAAAGGCCAGGGGCAGTGGCAGGAGGGATGGTCTGGTGTTGGCTCCAGGCGGTCAAGGGGAGTTTTGCATCTTCAGTTGACAAAGGCAACAGCAACGCTCCCACGCCTGTCGCACTCCCCGCGATGGGAACGGTGTTCACCGGGCCTCTCCTGCTACCTCTCCCAACCCCTCAGGAGGCAGGCAGGCAGGGCATCACTTGCAGGCGCAGCCACCGATGGCAGAGGGACTTGGGAATGTTGGGTCCGTGACAGAGTTCAAGCTAAAACCTGAGCCTCCTGAGTCCCAGCGCTGGTGCTGTCACCTGGCAGCCGGCACGGCGCAGCCCTGGGGGCCCAGCCAGCCCATCCCCTCAGCTCTGAGCCCCATACCTCAGAGATGCGTGGTAGCTAAGGCCACGCCTGGTACAGGGTCCCCTGGAACACCGGTGATCCCATCCCCCAGCACGTCCAGACTCGGGCCTGGACGGGCCGAACTGCGTGGTTCTGCAGGAGAGAACGCAGCTGACCGAAAGGCCCTGGGGGAGCGCTTTGTGCCCAGTCCGCAGGGGGGCCTCTGACCAGCCCAAAGCCCCTCCTGCCCACACCAGCTGAACAGGAGCCCATGCTGAGAGCTGCAAGGCCAGAGGGAAGAGGCTTACAGGCCATTCCCCATGCAACCACCCCCCCCCCCACACACACACACATACCAGCCCTCCTGGATGTCTTTAATGCCTGCCCTCTGGGTCGGCTCCCCATTGTCCTCACAGTCTTATTTCCCCTCCCGGGGATCACCCAGATGGCTGCCAGCTGCCTGGAGTTATTTCAATGTCAAGGTGGGGTGTAAACCTGTGGGGAGCAAACTCCAGCCCACAGGCCAAATCCATCCCACCACCTATTTTCTTTAAACAAAATTTCCTTGGTGTGCAGTGACATTGGTTAACTTACATGTCGTTATGGCTATTTGCGTCTACGAGACAGAGCTGAGTAGTTGACGAGAACCCTGTAGCCAAAACAAGTTGCAATCGGGCCCTTTATGAAGAAGTTTGCCTGCACTCAACAAGGCCCTCTCCTGGAACAGGTGGGCAAGAGCCCAGGAAACCCAATAAACTGCAGGGCAGGAGAGCTCAACGGGCAGAACCAGAGAGGGAGCTTGTGGGGGAAGGTGTTCAGGGGCGGCCTCCCGGAGAAGGGGAGCGAGGCCTTCAGTGGGTGTGCAGGGTTGGGGCGAGCGCCGCGGGACCGGGGTGCGGTTCCTGCGGGCAGCTCTGTGGAGCAGGGGCTGCGGGAAAGGAGCCTCCCAGAGCGGCGGCGTTTCTGTCTTCCGGGGACCCGGGAGACCTGGCGACCCTCCCCCAGCCACTTAGTCGGGAGGCTGACCTCGCTGTCTTCCTTGCCCTGCGCAGGACTTTGGAGAGGACGACTCCCTGTACATCACCAAGGTGACCACCGTCCACATGGGCAACTACACCTGCCACGCCGCCGGCCACGATGAGCTCTTCCAGACCCACGTCCTGCAGGTGAATGGTTAGTAAATGGCTCCGTGCATGTCGTCCCCTCAAAGCCTCCCCCAAATGCTGCTCAGAACAGTGGCCTCCTCTCCTATAGCCTGTCGGCTTAATGAAATACCTGACCCCAAACGCCCCATCTCTCTCATGAGTAAAGAGGTACAGTAGGGAAAGGGCAACGTCCATCAACTCATTTCCGTGTCTGGCTTCCCCAAAGCACCCTTCAAGGCACCGAATCCTGGGGTGGGGGAGGGGGGGCGGGCGGAGTCGTGGAGGCTGGTCGGGCTCAGCAGCTGAGGCTCCGGCAGTGACACTACAGGGCACATGGCGCCAGGTGAGCTGCCCCATGTGGTTTGGGCTCCAGGGAGACACACCCGCTGTCTGAAACCTACCCCCACTTCCAGGCAGCACCACTTGTCCAGTCGGGAGGCGCCGTGTCCTCCCACAGGCTGGCTCCCATCTCCCTCGCGAGCCTCAGCTGGGGCACCGCCGAGACCGCACCTGCGCAGGCCTTCAAGGCTCCGAGCTCCCCCAGCCCCGAGCTGCCCAGAATTGGGGGTGGGCAGCACCCACAAGTGCAGCAGCCTGCGGTGTCTGAGCTCTTGCCCTAGCCCGTCCTCTGTTTACACATTGCATGGACACTCCCAGTGGGCATATTCTAACCCACGTTTTGGGTGAGTCTCTAGGTAAGGTCAATTGCCTGGGGTCACAGTACTGACAGGTGTTGTTCTAGGCCCAGGGCTGGCACTCTGCACACCCCCCCACCCGGTCACGCCAGCCATCAGAACCGACAAGCCGTGGTCTCCCCGACGTGCTAGGGTGGATCAGCACCCCAGGGAAATCGGGCTCATTCAGCCAACCCCAGCTGGGCGCGCCCCTGTCACCCAGCAGGTCCGAGCAGCAGCTCATGTGTGGGTGGAGAGAGTGGCAGCTCTGGTCAGCCCCGCGTCCTCTGAGCCGGCTGGTGCTCAGGGCTCCTGCTCTGAGATAACTCGGGCAAGGTGTCAGGAACGAGCTCAATTCCGCTTACCTCTGGGATCCACAGGGACAAGCCATTTAAGGACAGCTGGGAGAGCTCAGCTTGCCTGTGCATTTACCCTATAGGATGTTTTAGGGATTTTTTATACTCACACTTGCTAAGCTGTATTTTATTAGTATTTCCCTTGAGCTGGGATATACTTAATCCTTTTGGGTTTTGTGGCTGTGCTTGCTGGCTTGAATCCAAGCCTACAGTGAAGTGTCTGGATTTCACCAGAAATAACCCACAGATTCTTAGTTATAACAGCTGCGGGGTGCACCAGCCCAGGCCGGGGTTCAGAGGCCGGGGGTATGCAGCCGGCAGGCCATGTCTGGGCCTCTCCCCCCGCAGGGGCAGGACAGTGCTCCGCGGCGTGCAGAGGGCCTTCTGGTCTAAAACAGGCAAGGGGTGCCTGGCACGGTACAGCGTTGGGGACTGTTTGGTTCCAGAACAGGTCCGTGTGGTTTGCCCCAGGGTCCGGGTCCTCAGACAAGCCTGGAGAAAGGAAACCAACCCACGTGCCCAGACCCTCAGTTCAGTCCTTCATGTCCCTCCCACGAGGGACCAAGTGCACAAGGAGAGGGCTTGAGCTTTGTCCCCTGTATTCCCTCCAAAGCAAAGCTGTGAGGAGGGGAGGGGAGCCACCTGCCTTGTCGCTCACAGGTGAGAGCCTGTACAGGTGAGCCTGAGGCTTCCAGAGGAGACTCTATGGTCTTAAATGCCTCCGTACATGAAGTGGCAAGTCCACAGTGCCAGGAGTTCCCCCAGAATTCCGAGACTGAGCTCATGATACAGATGAGCCGATTCCTCACTCCAGTGCTAATCCAGGAGCAAAGCCCAGGCCCTCGAGCACCGCGTGGTGCACCGCAGCTGGGCTCAAAGTAGGGAAGAGACTCCTCCCACCAGGTGGGAGTGGACCGAGCAGCTGGCCCAGGAGAATGCTGTTCAAGCCCTGCGCCCTCCCCATTCTTCCCTCTGTGTCCCCCTCCCCCCTTCCCTCACCCTCCCTTTCCCTTCTTCTAACCTCCTACATCCCCACCCCTATTCCCAAGCCTCCACTAGCCCAACAATTGCTCAGTCTCCCCAGAAGACACTGCTCTTGGCTCTGGGGAAGTCAAAACAGAGCAGACCTCCCCAAAGAGAGGCTGTCTGAGGTCCGTTTCCTGATTGCTCAGAGATTTCAGACTTCTTTTCCGGCCACAATACTATCAGTAGAATTGGAGGAAGCATGCTGGGACCCAGTATTTGGGATCAGTTTTCCACCCTATTAGGTCAGCTCACTGTGCTTGGCTCCCAGACATTGGGGCCGGGCCATTCAGGTGGCCCCAGCTCCAGGAGCCCCCGAGGTCTCTGGGCTGGGCTGACTCCCAGGCACTTGGGAGTGACACTTGCGTCCATTTGCCAGCTCCCTTGTGGGAGCAACATGCTAACGTAAGCCAGCGGCTGCCTCCCGAGGACACAAGTCCCCTGCCTGCCGGCCTAGGAACAAGACATTAGGTGTTCAAAGTACTCTGGAAGTTAGGTTTGCGACAGTGGTCTGAGAGGGAAACGAGGGTCTGTGTGGGGCGGTGGGAAGGCTCTGCTGAAAGCAGAATGGCGTGAGGGCCACAACTACCATGGCCAAACACCTGCCGTGCACCATCCTGGGTCAGATGAGGGACCTGGGGCTCGGGGTCGTGAGCCATTTACCCAGCACCCCCAGCCCTGCAGTGAGGAACTACAGACAAAGCTGTAGTTCCTCACTTGACCCCTGCCCTCCCCTCCCCATGGGGACCGGTGTGGCTGCCCCTGGAGAATCCAGACGTGGGATGCAGGGGCAGCCAGCCAGCAGGTCACCGGGGAGCTGCTGTGGGTGTTACCAGACGGAAGGGGTTCGTTTGCCTGCATGCACCGGAGCCCAATAAGACTCACACAGGAGTTTGTGAAGAAGAAAGTAAAGGTTTGCTGAAGGAAGCAGCACCAAGCCCGGGGACACGGGTGAGCTAGGGTTCTAATACCTGGTTTCTGGATGGCTTCTAGGGAGTGGGCTACATGGGGGGATCATTAATCATGGCAACTAAGGGAGTCAGGGCTGTGGGCCCTCCTGACGGTCAGGGTCAAGGTTCATGGTAGTCAGTCATTGCGTCTAGCCCCGATGTCAGCCATAGAGTTATGCTGTCTGGTTTGGCAAGAGGGCGGTTGGCAGGGTCAGTCCGCCATCACAGGTCTGGGGCCGGAACATGACTGAGGTCAAGATGTTTGTCCTTCAGGACAGTCTGACGCTGGCCAGGGCCTGGTTGTGCTGAGGGCTGAACGGTTCAGGCCGTGGCCTCGCAGCGCGCATGAAGGTGGAGAGACCTGATCGGAGGAGGCCAGTGAGTCCTGGTGCTCCTGAACTAAACAAAGCTGGCTGGAATTATGGACAAGGTCGTACTGAAGAACTGAGGTTCCTGTGCGGCTACATGGGCTGCACACTGTGGGGGACAGGAGACAGGACCCCTGCCTCATGTGTCTCCATCCCAGTGCTGAGCTCAGACCTGATCCGAAACAGCTGGCCCTGCGAGAACCTGAGGAAGGACCCGTGACAATGACTCTTAGGTCCAGCCCCCGCCCTTGGCAGGACTGACGCTGCTGAGCCGAGCAGCTTGGTGTCCTCCAGCTCCAGGTGGGGCTTAGCAGATCCCTGTGCAGACAGACTCCCGACGCTGTTCGGGGGCAGGCCCAGGAGGCCGGGTCACTGAGGAGTGCCTACAGAGGCGATGGGCACTGGGGCTTTGCAGGCTGTGGCGTGGTGCCACGGCGGGTCACTTTCTGGCAGGTGCCCCTGGGAAGGCTGAGAAGGCGCTGCTGGAGCTCAGGACAGAAGGAATGCTGCATTTCTAAGGAGCCCACGAGGAAGGGTGCAAATGCAGTGACGAATTCATCTGTGGGCTGTGTTCCTTTCCGCCATCCATTCCAAGCACGCGTCCGAAGCTCAAAAGGCGGCCCTGAGCAGCTTGGGTAGAATTTGGCGAAGTTGCCTGGCAGGGCTCTTGGAAGTCCCCTTTGGTCCCTGCTTGGCCTGACAGATGGCCTGGGGCTCACCCTGAGGCAGGGCCTCGGGCACACAGACAGGGAGCAGTGTTCTGTGTCTGGTGCTCCAGCTAGGGCCTCCTCAGAGCGAGACAGGAAGGGGGGATGATGAGGGGAGGAGATGGGGTGGTACTCAGAAGATTCAAGTGAACGGCAGATGTGCTGGGGAGTTAACAGGTGGCCTGTGGGCCCAAGAGATGGAGACAGCATGCCTGGGAACAGGCAGGAGCTGGGCTGGGGGCTATTCCATCCTAGGCACGGGGCAGACCCAAGCTGGCAACACCTCCGCCAGAGCGTCAAGACATGAACACTGAGCCAGACAGACCTGAGTTCAAGTCCCAGTGCCAGTACTTCCTTGCAGTGCAGGCTGAGGCAAATGAACTTGCCTATAAAAATCAGAATAATAATGCCACCTCCTGCCTTACAGTCTGATGATATATGATATGTGGAAAATGCCTGGCACAGATACAGTTCAAAGTCCAAGGCAGGATAGGTTGGGGGGAGATTGAGGGTTGTCTTAAGTCATATTTAACTGCTATTGGCAGACACAGGTGATCTGAGCTGGTTCCCCCTGAGAGAGCCTCCCGCCCATCACAGAAGGGAAAATCAAGACCTTTAGAAATTTGCCAAACCAGGAATAAAATACAGACCTATAGACCTCTTCTCCCTGGAGCTGCCCCACCCCCTGGTGACAAGAGCAAGACCTCAAATATGGGCTGGGCCACCGTCTCTCTGCCCGGGACTGCGTCAACCAGGCTGGCTGAAGGAATCCCATCCAGGAAACTGCTGCCTCTCTCAAGCTGTTCGTACAACTTCCCCGTGGACCAAGCCTCCCAGAGATGTGAGGCCCTGACACTGACGTGATTTATAACTCCACACAAGCCGCCCGCATTGCTTTCATTGGAAGGAGCAAGAGCCCAAACATAAATGATTAATCCGTTAAATTAAAA